AGAAAGCAAAAAAAAACATCCCATTTACAGTCACATCAAAAAGAACAAAATACCTAGGAATAAACTTAACCAAAGAGGTGAAAAATTTAAATCCTGAAAACTACAGAACATTGATGAAAGAATTTAAACATGATACAATGAAATGGAAAGATACCCTGTGCTCCTGGATTCCAAGGATTAATATTGTTAAAATGTCCATACTACCCAAACCAATCTCCATATTTAATGTAATCCCTAACAAAATAGCCATGAAATTTTTCACAGAACTAGAACAAATAAGCTTAAACTTCACATGGAACCACAAAATACCCTGGACTGTCAAAGCAATCTTGAGAAAAAAAAAGAATGAAGGTGGAGGTATCACACTTCAGACTACTACAAAACTACAGTAATCAAAATAGCCCGGCACTGGCACAAAAACAGAGACATAGATTAACAGGACAAAATAGGGAGCCCAGAAATAAACCCACACTCTATGGTCAATTAATCTACAACTAAGGAGACAAGAATATACAGTGGAGAAAAGACAGTCTCTTCAATAAGTGGTACTGGGAAAACTGGACAGTTACTTGTAAAAGAATGAGATTAGAACATTTCCTCACACCATATACAAAACTAAACTTATAATGGATTGAAGACCTAAATATAAGACCAGAAACCATAAAACTCCTAAAAGAGAACATAGGCAGAACACTCTTTGACATAAATCATAGCAATATTTTTTGGATCTGTCTCCCCAGGTAAAAGAAATAAAAATAAAAATAAATAAATGGGGCCTGATTAAACTTAAAAGCTTTTGCACAGCAAAGAAAACCACTGACAAAACGAAAACAACCTACTGAATGGGAGAAAATATTTGCAAATTATATGATCAATAACTGGTTAATACCCAAAATATATAATTAGCTCATACTCAGTATCAAAAAACCCCAAACAACTGAACTAAGAAATAGGCAGAAGACCTGAATAGACATTTTTCCAAAGAAGATACCAGATGGCCAACAGACACAAGAAAAGATGCTCAACATTGGTAATTATCAGAGAAATGCAAATCAAATCCACAATGAGATATTACCTCACATGTCAGAATGGCTATCATCAAAAAAGACCACAAATAATAAATGTTGGCAAGGATGCAGAGAAAAAGGAACCCTTGTACAATGTTGGTGAGAATATAAATTTGTGCAGCAATGATGAAGAATGGTATGGAGATCCTCTAAAACACTAAAAATAGAACTACCATATGATCTAGCAATCCCACTCTTACATATTGAAAGAAAATAAAACAAAAGATATGTGCACCTATTGTTCATAGCAGCAATATTTACAATAGCCAAGATTTAGAAGCAACCATCAGCAGATGAACAGATGAAGAATATGTGGTATATATACACAGTGGAGTATTACTCAGCCATAAAAATAATGAAATTCTGCCATTTGCAATAACATGGATGGACCTAGAGGGTACTATGCTAGTGAAATAAGTCAGACAGAGAAAGACAAATACTGTATGTCATCACTTACATGTGGAATCTAAAAATTAAAAGAATCAAATGACTATAACAAAACAGAAACAGACTCACAGATATGGAAAACAAACTAGTGGTTACCAGTGGAGAGGGGGAAGTGGGGAGGGGTGAGATAGGGGTAGGAAATTAAGAGATACAAACTACTATGTATAAAATAAGCACAGAGAAATATACCCATTCCTTTATAATAACTTTAAGTGTAGAACAATTTATCAAAATACTGAATCATTATGTTGTATGCCTGAAATTAATAATATTCTAAATCAACTGTACTTCAAAAAAGAGGAATGAAGTACTAACACACACTATAACATGGATAAACCTGAAAAACATTGTGCTAAGTGAAAGCCAGATGCAAAATACCATATATTGTATGTTTCCACTTATATTAAATGTCCAGAAAAGGCAAATCTACAGAGACAGAAAATTTATTATCGATTTCCCAGGCTGAGAGTGCTTATAAATGGCACATGGTATCCTTTTACAGTGATGGACATTTTCTAAAATTGGAATGTGGTGACAGTTATACAACTCTGTACACTTTCTTAAAAAATCAATGAGTTGTATGCTTAAAATGAGTGAATTTTATAGCATGTAAATTATACCTCTCTAAAGCTGTCGAAAAATAGCTATGAAACCACAATGCAGTTTGAGATGTAATTCTGGCTTTTATACATCTTATAACTACAAGACTTTTATAAGATAAGACAGCTCTGATTCCCAAGAACAATGTGGCAGAGGCCCCCAAAATTTTGAAAACCAATCTTAAGTTAATATTCTGGCCCTACAAATAAATAGGTCACATGGCATTAGTGTCCGGCACTAATAGGCCTCAATAAATGTTACTGGTTGAACAACTAAACCATCTTCATAGTGTGATTTCCCCCCAAATATCTCATCTACATGATATATGAAACTCAGTTGATTAGGGCATTTTTTTTAAATTAAAAAAACTTAAAAAAACTTAAATGAAATGCCAATATCCCCAGGGGAAAAGCAGTTAACAGTTGAGATAGTTGGGATCAGATAGGCTATGATGAGGTAAAATACTAACTCTTAGATGCTATACGCCCACCTAGTTTAGGAGTAGGAGCTAGAGATGGGGGTGGGGAGTGGGAATGTCTGATTCACAGTCTTTCAGAGACTCAGGTGGACCAAGGTTTAACTGTACATCAACAGGAGTCACAGTTGACTAACAGAGACTGAACAACTGTGGATGGACTTTTCACTAACACTGCCCATAGGTGACACACCTCACGTCCGCTAACATTTCTTCTGCTCCCTAACTGCAAAATTAGCTGGGTATCCAGGGCAGTAAATGGAATATCTGGTGAGCGCTGCAGGCTGCCATGTTTGTCATCAGGGGCCCTGGTCTCTGGATTCTTTTCCACAGCTAGAGATAGCCTCCTTTTCCATCTATCTGATTAAAAATCACTTATCAAGAATTTAGGATAGGTGACCTTCAGATTCTTTGAAGCAAGTTTTGAAGCAGGGCAAACAAACACTCTGCTCGTATCCCTGAAACACTTGCTTTTTTGGGAAGAGATGGTTCTTGATTCAGCTCTGTTTGCCCAATATTGAGGATAGTACCTGATACATGGTAGCAGATCACTGAGTGTATGGAATTGAGTTTTGTTTCAGAGAAACAAGTCAGATGAAAGCCTATAGTCTCAGAAAGAATATCTCTCATCTCCACATGCTGTTGTTTCCTTTCTTAAAATTTTTCGGGGGGAGGTAATTAGGTTTACTTATATTTATATTTTTTAAAATGGAGGTACTGAGGATTGAACCCAGGACCTCACGTGTGCTAAGCACGTGCTCAACCACTGATCTATACCCTTTCCCCCCATGGCGTTCTTCAGTCACAGCTTTTTTGTTGTTGTTGTTGAAATTTCTTCAGTTCAGTTAAATACAACTAAGAAACACACTTAAATTCTGAGGGAAAAGAAGCAAGAACCGATGCAATGTAAACAACAATCACTTTTACTATTTTATTGCACTATCGTCACATCTAATAAAATTTATATCTGTAGTGCTGCACAAAAAAAATAAGCTCAATGCTTTAGAAGAATAGAAAGAAATGCATCAAGATTTATGCTATTCAACCATGTGAAGGTATTTGGATAAAAATGTAGTTGGTAGAGGCTGCTACTAACATGCACTCCATTACTTACAGCATTTAGACCCTTAGCTTCCAGTCTTTTCCTTGGAGTTATCTTAAGTTGCAATGTCAGCTTTATCCTTTTCAAATATTACTTTTAAAACCTAGGAACAAACTCCATAATTCTGGGAATTCTGACTCTTCTCTAACTTTTCATGCTTTTTTTTTTTAAACCAAGGTCACCAAATGAACCTTTGCTATGTGAGAGCTAATTATTCTTTAGTCGCACATATTTGCTAACAACTCACCCACTACCCTGGGATGCGGTTTCCTTATTTTCTACCTGCAAAAATTCTGCCCATTGCTCAAGCCCAGAATGGATCTTAACCTTATGAGACTCTCCTTGAATGTTCCTGCCATGCTGATCTGAGTACCTGAAGCACCTATGGTCTATAACAGTCATCTATGCACCAAAAACCATCCAGAGGTTTTCATTGAAATCTTTTGAGTCTCATTCTTCTAGCTAGAGTATGAACTTCTTCAGAGACTGTTTTATTTTTTTATATCCCCATATATGGATCAACAGAGAATCCTCAAGAAATATTTATTGCATACCTACTGTTAAGCCTTGTAGAGGTACAGACGTGCCATTAAGTATTATATTTATTAGTTGAATTAACATTTGAAGAATCTTTAAGATGCTATATTTTGGAATTACATATTGGACTTTGACCCTTAATCAATGTTGCTATTTCAAATATAAGTTTTAAAATACATTATTCTCATTTGTCAGTATTTTCCTAAACTTATATTTTAGTTTTAGTGAAAATATCATTTTTGAAAATAGAAATGCTGGAATTCATTTTTTGAGAATTTATCCTTACATTCATTACTTACTGATTGTTTTGTATACCAATATTGTGTTGCCCTTGGTCATTAGCAGATCTGTCCCTGGATCTCTGAATTTATAAATATACACAAAACATGGGGCTAAAGGTGATACTAATTTTCCATTATATCTTTTAATAGATGGTTTAGTCAATTATGCTAGGTATGATAATACACATAAAAAATCCATTTCACTTGATAATTACAATAACATACTAAGTGTTCCTTTAAAACCATATTAAAGCAACAACAAACCACAGCTTCTTGGAGTATAAAATAATCTATAATTAATCTTATAAGTGTGTTCTCTTTACCATTCAAAAATCCACTGCTAATCTGGGAATAATGTTCTTCCTAAAGAGAAAAACACCCTCTGAAAATCTCTCTTCCTGCCACTCATATTATGCTTGAATTTTGTCTGCTTTTCCTTTGACACTTACTCCTTTAAAACTAGCAAAAAATCAGAAAAGTCAAACTCTCACATCTCTCACTGTGTCGTAAAATCCTTTTGTCAATTACCCTGCGTGCTTGAGAGGTGGTCCGTTTCTTTTTCCATAGAATTACACAGTTGTCTCCGCAGCCTGATTTGCCAGTTTGGTCCACGCTGTATCGGTTTGGTGATTCTTTGTACCGACTGATGACCATGAAAAAGCGAAAGTGGAGCAGTTCCAGACTAAATTGGATCAGCCTTTTCCCGTAAAGCAACCTGGTACCACACAGAATTCCAGGGAGAAAGAATGATAGAGCATGCACCAATAAGGAGTGGAGAAGAGGATTTTGTCGAAGTTTGCAACCCAATCCTTGGGAGCCAGAGGTGGGAATTTTAAAATGGGGTTGTCCTTTCCTTGGAATTTTCTTAAAGTGGTATCGCTGACTGTTGATGTTAAAGTTTGCCAAAGATTGCCAATCGCTAATTTAAACCAGAGGACTTTCCCCCTTTGCTCTGAGTGAGGAAAAATATGAAAGTAATGCTAGACAAATTGAGAGGAGAGTGGTCGTTAGGTAATACACTAATACAAAGAATCACATGGCTACTTTTGTGTCAATTTTAGAAGGCAGAAGTTATTTTAAGATGATTTATTTTTCATGATCAAATATCGGACGTTAAATTAATACATTGAAGTATTTCCTTTTTTAAGAAATGAAAACTAAGAGGCTAACATTGATTACTTTTAAAGAAATTGTCCTGTCTATAGTTAATCCTTAGGAGCAAATCGTATTATTTGTGTTGATCTTTAATACCGTAATGATTTTTGTTTTTACACAAACTGTAGGTTTCCTCATTTTAAGTCTAGCAAAAAAGTTCTGAGTACCACAAAATTTTAAGTATTTAGAAACCTGTATAAAAGGTCTTAGAAGTACATGACATACATCATGCCATATACTTCAGTAACTTCTGAAGACCAGGGTTACTGGATAATTGGCAAGTATTCTATTATAACTCATACCTTGTTTTGGGGTGTTATTTTTATTTAATATAACTCTGCTTTCTAGGTTATTTATCTCTAACAGTAATTAAATAACCAACATAGACCTATAAAGGTTGCGTGACAATGAACCCCTGGCTTAATCAACATCAAGTTTTTCAAAGAGCAATAAACAGCAGTTTCACGAGGAATTTTTTTTTAAACTTCATTTCAGAAGAAAAGTTGTCACATTAACAAAGCATTATATATGTAATATATATGCTGTTCCCTAGCAATACTTGGATTTTTTTTAACATAAAGATGTCTTTCTTTGATGACTCTTTCTGCTGACATAGGAATTTTGGTCTTGAAGAAAGATTTATTGACGGCTTAGTCATGCCAGGAGCTGACAGAGTATTTAACTTATTAATTTGTTATTGTCCTTTTAACGCTCGTTGCTCACAGCAGACCTCCCCGCATGTCAACAGACTAGGGTACCGCCTCACGTTTGGACCTAACCTGCCAGAGCACAGCGACCGCTTTTACATCGTGCTTGATAACTAACCTATCTGATAACTAACCTTGGTATATTACATAAACCCACCGGACCTCAGTTTTTCATCCGTCAAAAGAGTATAATAGTAGTAGTACCTGTGTCATAGGATTTCTGTGAGGGTTAAGCGAGATCATCTATGCACAGCTCTTAGAACGCTGCATGGTACACAGTAAGTGACTGGGAGCTATTGTTGTAACTCCTCAACGTATGCACTGAATGAGCGGACGAGTGCATCGGCGAACAAATGAATGAAAGAACAGATCAGTTACTGGAGGTCTCTGAGGCTGGAGCCTGCTAAATTTCCGCCTCAAAACTCTTAAGCAAAAAGCCACTCTACACAACAAACTCCAAAGTCGGAGCCGGAAGCAAGAGCTGAGCGTAAGGCGGGGCCAGTCGCGGCGAAGCCTCATTCTTGGCCAATAGGCACGTCTCTTGGAAAACGAACATCTCATCCGACCTATCGTAAAACCGCGAGAACAGAGGCACATTATCGCGAGGTTCGGTCTTCCTCTCCTCGGCTCCTTTCTCCCCCAACTCCCTCAAGTGAGGGTTCCGCCCCGCTCCGCCCCTCGTCGCCCGCGCCCCTCCCCATCCCCCGCCCGGCGCCCCGCCCCGTTCGCCGAGCCTCGGCTTGCCGTCCAGCGTCCCTGCGCCCGGGAGCGCTGGCTCTGCCGGCGCCGAGGTGAGTGTGGCACTTCGCCTCGTCGGGTGGCTCACTTAGCAGGGCGCTCTGGCCCGGGCCCGGTCCCCAGACCGGATC